GGCCTCGCTGGCCAGCTGCAGCCAGGAGTTCCCTCCGGTTTTCCCGCCTCACCTGGACTCGGCCGGAGGGGTGCAGGATTCCTCCAGCAACTCCAGCCACATCAACGCCACCTTTGGGTCCACTAACCTCACCGGACTCTTTCTGCCACCTCTTCTCAATGCCACCGGGGCCAATATCAGCGCCACTCCCATCCCGGCAGACCCTTTCAGCGGGCTTCTGGAGGAATCCATGCTGGATGAAATCAGCCTCCTGGACCTGGCCATGGAGGAGGGCTTCAGCCACGCTCAGGCCTCGCAGCTGCGGGACGAGCTGGACTCGGACTCGGGCCTGTCCCTGGACTCCAGCCGCAGCCCGGCATCCCCCAGCAGCTCGGAGACGTCCTCCTCCTCCTCTTCCTCCACCTCCGCCACCTTCTCGGAGGAGGGCGCCGTGGGCTACAGCACCGCTGCGTCCGACTCTGAGGAAGGAGCCGTGGGTGGATACCAGCCGGAATACAGCAAGCTGTGCCGCATGAGCTTCCAGGTTGCTTTTTGATTTCAAATCATCCATACATCCAATTTCGTGCTTCTCCTCATTCGGGGTCGGAGGTTAACGGGAGCCAATCCCCGCTGACTTTGACGACAGGCGAGGTACACCCTTGGCTCGTCCCCGCGGTTGTAGCACTTATTTCCTGGTGTCCAATGTCAGGGCCCATAAACCAACAATGGACAAGTTGCCATTTAATGTTAAGGCACGCATAGGCAAACAATGAACTGGTTACCAGTCCAGAGTGTACTCTGCCTCTCAGCCTGTCAACTGGGATAGCCTCCAACTCAGCCTAATGAGGAAAAGCACTATAAAAAAAGGATGGATGCACATCCCCACGTGACTGACTAAAGTGCGTCAATCTGCTGTCTTGCCATCTATCTGTTTCGCCATCTGTCTCTCATTCCTATCTATCCATCCAGGACAACTTCCACGGTCTCCCCCAGTTGGGAGGAATCAACCACAACCATACCTACAACCTACCGCTCGGGACCCCTTTGACCGAGCACCCCGAGCTCCCCAAGAAACAGAACCCCAAGAACTCCAAGCTTCCTCCCCCGACGTCCGAGTTGCTGGACAAGCACTCGAGCCGGGACGAGCGGCGCGCCCGCGCCATGAAGATCCCTTTCTCCAACGACAAGATTGTCAATCTCCCCGTGGAGGAGTTCAACGAGCTCCTGGCCAAGCACCAGCTGAGCGAAGCGCAGTTGGCTCTGGTTCGAGACATCCGCCGGCGCGGCAAAAACAAAATGGCGGCACAGAACTGTCGCAAGCGCAAGTTGGACACCATCATCAACCTGGAGGAAGGCGTGCACCAGCTCAGGCGCGACAAAGCACGGCTACTCAAGGAAAAGATGGAGTTTCTGCGCTGCATCCGGCAAATGAAGCAGAAAATGCAGAGTCTGTGCCAGGAGGTTTTTGCCCACGTGCGAGACGAGCAGGGCCGGCCCTACCCGCCCAGTCGGTACTCTCTCCAGTACGCCGCGGACGGGAGCGTTTTGGTGGTACCGCGCAGCGAGCAGAACCGGCCCAGGGCGGACAAGAAGACCAAGGACAAAAAGAAGTGAGGCCACCAATCTTGTGGGGGACTTTCTGCACACGGGACAAAGGCGAGGCCGGCCAACCTGCCTGCGCTTGGCTTCCCGTATTCGTTTGGCCCTTTTTTTCATTCTGCTCCCCGTTATTTTCCCTCGCTTGCCTGCTCATCTTTCCGGATTTCCGAGGCAGGAACAGGGAATGCAAAGACGTTTTTTTTTTTTTTAAAGAAGCTGCTTTGTGGAGACCGGGCAAAGGACAAATAGCAGTCACCCAGGGAGGTTTGTGAAGGTCTGGGATAGACTTTCATGGAGTACCTCAAGCTCCCCACGAACTTGAAACTTCCGCCTCTCCTGCTGAAGCTCAAGGGAAAGCGAAACCGAGCCAAGCCGTGAAGACTTATTATGACCAGATCATCAAGATCCAAACACAAGATCATCAACGTCTTCATGGGGGAGTTCATCAAGCTTCTGGCCAAGAACTGGATGTGTCGCTCCTCTTTATTTTTTCCCTCGCTTTTTGCTTCACCACTCATCCTTCGGGACTTTCGAGGCGGGAAGAGGGAACGCTTCGTGGAGGTTGGTCGCAGGAAAAATTGTACTCAGTGAGGAAGGGCTGCGAACCCATTTCACCAAGGACCTGCAGCTGCCCAAGACCCAGAACACCCCCCCCCCCCGCACCCTCCAAAAAAACTTCAAGCTTCAGCCCCCAGCAGAGCTTCTGGATCCCCCACGTCCGATCACAAGATCAGCAATCTCCCCGTGAAGGAGTTCCAACAAGCTTCCGGCCAGAACCCAAAATCTGCGCTCCGTATTTCGCTCTTTACGTACTTCCGAGATGGGGGGGAAAAAAACGGACGGCAAAGAAGACATTTTGAAGAGGTTGCTTTGTGGAGGACAAACTCTTCGGTTCCAACATCAGAAACCGCGCCGAGGGTTTGAGGAAGTAGCGATGCCTTGCAACGTGTATCCACGTGTTCTTCTTCTAGATTTCCATCCATGTGCACCGTCGTCTCCAAAATGTTCGGCTTGATGCGCTCCGCTGACATGAACTCCTCAATAGTCTGTAGTCCAGGGGTTCTCAAGCTTTTTGGGTTCAGGGACCCCATACAGGGGAGAATTATTTTTCAAGGACCCCCCACCACAATACTACTATCACCAATCAAACATACAGTAACTCAAAATAAACGTTTCAAGCTTGAGATTTAAGGCTATTAATAGCAGGGTGTCAAACTCAAGGCACTGGGGCCACATCTGGTCTGCTAATTTTTGTGGCCCACAACCAGCAAGTACCATGTTTGCTTCATGTTTCTTGCTAAATTTATTTATTCTTTTGGCAGAAAACCTGTACAGAAATTCAACTTTTTTTGCTTGGTTTTACAAGCATCAAATCGAGTTTAGAAAAGCATGTTGCCACTTCCGAATTCAGCAACTTTTTCTGACCCCTCTCTTGTGATTATTCACAATCATATTGGGGCTTTTAATTGGCCCACAGCTAAGGTAGGGAGGACTAAGCGCTTCATGCTTTTGGGCGTGCCATACATGGGTATCCACGTACATACTGTAAAGGACACGGACAAGTTATTGCTAATTCATTTGCGAACCCCCAAGTTACACCTTGCCGTGGGTGGCCCGCGGACCCCCGTTTGAGAACCACTGCTGTCTACTCAAGTCAGCTCTACATTCAAGGCCTGCACTACTTTTTCCTGAGTTTTTAAATGTAATCATCAGAACTTTTTTTTTTTTTTGCACCCTTCTCAAATCTAAGCGATTAATCTCAGTTAGGATGTGTGTGTGTGTGTGTGTGTGTGTGTGTGTGTGTGTGTGTGTGTGTGTGTGTGTGTGTGTGTGTGTCAGTGGCGGTGATGATGGTAAAACTACTGTAGTCTGGAATGTCGTGCGGTGATGGGGGAAGCGCACTTGTTACGCTCGTATCAGGGGCGGTACTGAAAAGATGTCGTTTGTGGTCCTGAAAAGAATCTGAAGCAAGTGGGAAATGAGTGTGGAGCCCCAGACCATATATGGTTTTGAGGGGGTAGAATGGCCAGAATTGAGATAAAATATAACTTGAGCATAAAATACAAATTTCTAGCCATGGAATGCTATTGTGGGTTTATTATCGTTCCCACAAACAACTCTGATGTCGGGGCAAATGGAGTGCACCTTCACGAGAAACCGCAGGGTCTTCTGTCTTAGTTTCTCAGGAAGGTGCGCTTAATTTGCTCACCAAACTGTCCAAGATGGTATGAATATTATGTGCCCATTATAGCTATTCTGTGGCCACAAATGTGCATTTTTTTTGGTGCATGTCACATCAGGTGGCCACAATGTAGTATTTCATATCCCCAAATTTGCAATTTGTGTTTATGATATATCTAATTCGTGGCCACAAATCCGCATTTTGTGTGCATGTTTTATCTGTTGTATGGCCACAATTACATTTTTTGTCATGTTTGGGGCTCCAGAGGACATTCGGAATGGGCGTGAAAGCATCTCCCCTTATTGTCGCAAACTCTTGCATCCTGCTAAAACTTAAGCACTTTTTTGTCTGTCTTGTAAATATTTGTGTGCCCCCCCCCCCAAACCACCTTTTGATTTAGATGTAGTTCCATGTTTGCTGGCAATCAACATTTGTTTTTATGGATTAATAAAGTGTTTTTATTTCCAGCCTTTGCATTTTCAGTGCTTTGGTCATGTCAAACTAAACCAGATGAGACATTTGCAGTAAATCTGGCGTTTACTACTTTATTTTACAACTTTTAGTCGATCACGATCGACCGGTAACTCTGTCTCACAATAAGTACTGTATTTAAAAAACAAAATAAAGCGGGTCACCTTTAACCTCCGATGCCACGTGACCTGCATCACCGGAAGTTGTTAGCGGTTAGCAGTCTGCGATTGCAGCTAGCAGTCAGAGCTCTTGCGCCAAATCTTGTGTTATTCTCATTCAGAGTTTGTTTTCTGCCCAAGTCACCGAGGCCACTGGCAGAGAATTGGAATCTGGAGAGCCGAGAGAAGCATTTTAAAACGGTACGCGTGCCCTACGATTGTTATGCCTCAGAAGCGCGTCAGGTCTCGACGAAGGTAGGCAGTGAGTTCCTCATGACAAACTCTTGTGTCGACAATTTTTTCTGTTTCGTTAATCTTAAGAGCCGTTAGGCTGTTTTTGCTCATGACATAGGTGTGTCAGTGCGTGGGTATGCGGTAACGGGTCGATTGTAGGAGGTTGGGCAACCCCTGATGTAGAATGATGAAACTCCCAACTTTGAATTTTGTGTTAATTCCCCCCCAGTCAACTCTTGTCCTTACTTTGTATCTTCAGCAATCAAGTAAATGTATGAATGATAAGTTATCAACATTATTGGCAGAAACAGAAGGCCCCAAACGTTCAAAGGCTGCTTTACCGCGGCGCAACCGATGTCCACACTGAGACAAAGGCATAACAAAAAGTGATTTTATTGTCCAAAAAATGACAGCGAGACATGGAGAAACAACAACCACCACCACCAAGCACGTAGTCATCACGGCAAATGAATCATCATCGGAACACGACGGCTAAGATGGAAGGAGGAAAAAAAAATATATATAAAATGGCACATAAGCATCATGGTAAAAGGTGTGAAATGGCAAAAGTTTAACACTGCATGGACACGGTGTCATGCAGGATGACAACGTTCTAAACACATAAAATCACAACCAACGTCAGACTAACCGTGAATCGTTTAACCCCACTCCCTCCCTTTAAGCTCAAGCTCACTCCTCCTTCGGAACCCAAAGTACAACCAAGTTCAAAACTACACTTTTTTTTTTGTTTTGTTAGTTTTTCTCATCTTTTTTCTCATCTTCGCTGGGGTACGAATGCCAGGTAAGCCGCTCCTCGTAGAAAGAAATGACCACCTGCGGACACTTGACGTTGGCTTCCTTCGCTGGAACCAGGTCTGCTTCGTCAGAATTTTTCCTTCAAGAAATGTTTTAAAAGTGGAGTGAGAACGCTGGAAAGCGGCACCATGACGATGGTAGGGTTGCAAAATTTTCAAAATTGGAGACCGAATGGAACAAATGTTCCAAACTTGAATTTGTTCCATTCAAGTTTGAATTTGTAAATAAAGCTGTTGACATTTCATGCGGTGGGTACGAACCACTTCATGAGGAACATGAGCTCTCCCGTCGAATCGGTGGCTCCGATGATTCTCTCTGGGTCCAAGCCTCTGGCAAAGCCCCTCAGCTTCTCTGTCTGACAAAAACAAAACAACCAAACAACTTATTTTCGGGTTCTCGCTTTTAATCTTGAAAGTGAGCCAACCAAACAAGTTCAATATCTGTGAATTTCCTGCAGTATTTTGAACTCACATCATCTTTCTTCCTCTTGGATTTACTTTCTTCCCCGTCTCCGTCAGCGGATGCCTTTCGTTTGCCCTCGTGCGCCGACTTCTGAGACTGGAGGAACTCTGCGATGAGGTCGGGACAGTCTAGGTTGTCCTCTGGCTCCCAAGTGTTATCTTCCCTGCGCGCGTGCGCACACACAAAAAAAGGTGGGCCACACCACAAACCAGACACATACGATGCATGTTAACAACAGACACACACACACACACACACACACACACACACACACACACACACACAAAAACCAACAACAATCGAAAGTTTTGAATTTAGTGGCGCTCTAAAAACGGCACTCACTCCGAGAATCCTTTCCACTTGAGGAGGTATTCCACCCTCCCTTTGACCACCCGCCGATTCAGGACCTTCTCCACCACGTATTCCTCCTCCTCCTCATCTTCCTCGGCTACATCATCCGCCTTCTTGTCCTTCTTCTCGGGCGCAGGCTGCTTGCTCTCTGGCAGATGACAGTGTACAGTCAGGCATCTAAACAGCGTACATCACAGCTGACCCTACCACGGCTATATATTTTTTTTGTAAATACACAACAAAAAACAGGACTGTGGTTTTAAGGCGAAAAAATCTCATTAATAGCACTGCAAGCCACTAACATAATGCCCATTAAACATTACAACTGGTAATGATTACAGTGTACCATTAGAGGGAGCATGTGTACCACATTTTAAGAATCGTGCAGCATTGAAAATATTAAATGCTAATTAAAATGCAAAAAAAAAAAAATAAATGTAGATTAGACTAAATTGGAAGGCCAGCTCACATAAAAATGGGCCAAATTTAGATGATTTTGTATGACATGAGAGAATGCCCGAACCTTCTGTAACGCTGGGGCCATCGTTGGGGGTTTCGGTAGTCAGGCTCATACTCTTCAGGGAGACCTGGAGACCAGCAGGGTCCTGCTCAAATTGGTAAGAAAGAAGAAAAGCGCATTGCACACATTACAACCAAATCACAAATTAATCAGCTTTAATTTACTAAGTCTAGTTGTCAATGAACACGCTACACTATATGAAAAATAAAATATGTAAGTTGAATTTGTTCAGTACCAAGACTCAATTCACTATCAAATGTATATTATTTTATAATATTAAGCCGGGAAAGTCTCATGGTATGCTGCTACATTGTGGCAGCAAATTTTCCCAAACTTACTTCACAACAAGCAGAAGTTTGCAGAGAGCGATCAGTTCTTCAGAAAGGACGCTTTCAGCGCTTTGACGCCACTCCCGGTTGAACTGGCAAAAAAATAATAATTATAATTATGTTGCTGAGTTAAAAGAAACCATATATACTTGGCTTCAAGAATTTTCGGTCACTTCATGCTAACGTACAACGCAAAACATCATATCTGGCCCGCCACGTCATTTTATGTGGCCCGCAAAAGCCAATCAGACCCGTCAACTTTCATAATGCTTCCTAAAATAGGTCCCAAAATTTCAAATGCCCCTACGTAATAAATGAAAAAACATTGCGGATACGGATTACAGGCATTTCCATTCATTCCAATGGGCAAAGATGTTTTGACACATTTGTGTTTGCAGGGCTGTACAGCATTTGTAGCAAATTAATAATTTTTGCACTATTAAAATGAAACTGGGGAAATTACCCCATGCGAAAAAAAGGACTTTTGTTGAAATGGAAAGCAAAAACTAGTGCGTGTGCATCTAAAAAGCTGGAAGCAACCACCTGTTCAAGCAAGAAGATTGTATGAGAATAACAGATGCAGCAGCAGCTAGTTGGGATGGTAACAAAATAAAACTGGAAACAAAGGCGATTTGGGGGCGTTTTATGCGGCTACGGTCGCCGCTCAGTAACGTGGGGGAATCAAAGCGCTGCACGACAAAGCCGTGCATGCAGGAGGCGGCTAGCATGGAAGGGAGCATTCCACCCTCCATATTGTGTTGTGCTGCCTTCACCTCCAGTCCGATGCATCACGTAGTCTGGCGTCATTTAGATTTGTACGTAGTGTTTTTTTTTTTTCGATTAACACGGGCTCCATTTTGATGCAACGATGTGAAGGTGAATGAGAATGTATTAATGCAAGTGGCTGATGACAAGCTGTACTTGCTCTCTGTCTGCCTCTCGATCTCGCTCGCTCTCACACACACACACACACACACACACATTGTCTTTTAAAGCACTCGCTTTTGGAGGGAAAAAAATTAACTCACCTCTGACTCGCAGTTCGTTTTTTTCGGGAGACCCCCTCCCGAAAAGGATCACAGTGCAACGCTAAGGTTTTTATTGTAGCCCAATAGCGTCGGCGATTCAGTGTTTTGCTTTTCCCTACCTGGTAGGTTACACAGCGAGGCTAGCTTTTTGACTAGCTTGGAGCTAAATGTAGCCGAGCGGCCCCGCCCCTTATCGTCTGAGACGAGTGGGGAAGGAAGTGGCGAAAGGCGGACGTCACACGCATGCGCAATGGCCTTTCACTGGACACTGCGCTTTTTAATACCTTTTTGTGCGCTTTTATTTTTGCGGCGCGAAATTGAAAACAATGTCCACGGTAAGCCAAAGCAGTCATCAGACATGTCACTGGGTGGCGCTGGTATTCAAACCGCCATTGAACAAGCAGAATACCAAAGTTTATTTGGAGACAGGTCTGCACGAGGGGGATTCATGAAGTGCAAGTGCGGTGCACGGGTGCGGCAAGATGGCGACCTTTTTGCATCATAACTACATTTATTTATATTTCATATGCTACACGTAACACTTATTGTAATGCAATTAAACAATGCGCATGCGTAAAAAGGGAGGGGTGGTGCTCCCCTCCATCCTTCCACCCACTGACGTCACGCTTCGAAGGCGTGAGGCTAGCCGGGCTAGCATACAGTAGCTCTCGTGTGACTTGCGAAATGGAGACGGAAGCTGTTGGACTAACAAACCGCCAGACTGAAACCCGGGAAGCTTTCGGCTCTTGTTTGAGGAACATCGACCAGACGGCTCACTTTAAACCCAATACACTCGCTTGCCAATTTACAAACGCTTTGTGGAAAGTAAGTCCGCCAGAATTAGCTTTTAGCTCCTGTTGGCTTTTTGCGCAACAACAAATACTGTACTGACAGCTTTTCTTAAAGTACCAGTCCCTTCAAATGTTAATTTGACAAACATGTATGGTTAAATATCACTTTTGTAGTCGTTGTGTCAACTACTTGTGAACAAGTGTGCAGGCTGGCGTCATAAATGACGTTGCAAATCGTTCCAAATTGGCAACGGTTAGTTTGACATGCTTACCACGAACGAGACAGGTGAGGCATTCAAAACGTGTGTTGGTGTAAGAATGATATCTATCTTTAAAAAAAAAAACAACTTAAAAGTAAATTGGTTATTAGACATCGAGTGTGTCCAGCCTAATCCTCTGATTTTGATGCACCACGTGTCAGTAACACAATCTGCACGTTTTTCAACTCAATCGATTAGTCTCCCTCCTTGGCCTTGTGATGGCCAGCTGAGTCACTGCTCGATGGCCTGTCAGTGTTGTAATGGAAACCACAAGGTACAGTTCTTCTCGGATGTGCGTGTCAATGCTGAAGAATCGAACTGAAATTATTACAGTTAAAAGAAAGAAATCAGTCAAGAAATGTGCAAAGAGGTTAAGATGTAAAAATCATTTCATTTCGTGGAAAATTGTCTGTTTTTTTATAAAGTACATAATTATAGTTTGTACTTTTCTTCAGAACGTGTAAATTTTTTTTTATGCTGGTGTTCTTTGAGGGCAGTGGATGGGTTAAACGCATTTCCATTTGTTTATGGAGAAATATGATGAGTAAATAGCGTTCGGAGTGACCAATGTGTTTGCTGTAGGTGAGCCCTCCCACCCCCCCAGCATTCACGCCATTCGTCATTTCGTGTGTGACTCGTAAAAGTGCAATGAGAGTGACTTGAACTTCTTTTCTTGCTTCGCAGGCTGAGTCATGGTCACACTTCAGCATGTGAATTGAAACCGCTTCTTGTGTCTCATCTCTGTCGGCACGCCGGCATCTTTGCGCCAGTGACCATGAACCACGAAGATGTAAGTCACCTTTTCGTATTCATCAATTTATTGTCCCTACATGCAACACCCCTTCCACCACATGTATTTTTAAGAATCAAGTGTGCCGTGCAGTGCGTGTCTTAATGGCCAACATTTATTTTATATGTTTTAAGTAACGTCTTCTTGGTCAAAATTCCAGTTGTAGCACATCAGTGATGCCAGCGTTTTGGATGACAAAAATATTGACCGTAGAAATATTTAAAGGATGCATTTTTTCCCCCGCCTCAATGTAGGAGTTTGTTGCCGTGCGAGTTCAAGATCCCCGCGTGCAGAACGAAGGCTTGTGGAATTCGTACGTGGATTACAAGATCTTCCTCCATGTGAGTGACTGTAATTTGTTTGTTTCAGATTGATTTTGAACTACGACTGTTTGAATTTTGACTGTTTAGTTTTCCTGCTGTTTTTGTTACTGGTGACACAAGCAAGACCAGCATGAAAACAAAACATAGCTTTTTTTTTTTTTTTTAAAGCATGGCTCCTGTCAGTAATCATTAATTATAGATTATAAAGCAAGACATAAAATAGACAATAAACAAATATTGACTTATTTTATTATTCGAAGAAACTATTGAAAAACACCCATTTAAATATCTTTATAGAATGTCACTTGCTTTAATTCGTCAAAAAGCTGGACCATGACATACCACACCTCTTTTTAATCTGAGACAGATGACGTCAGCAGATAGTTTTCCTGACATTGTTGTGGCAACTGTCTGTCTTTAGCACTGCCAAGTCAGCAGCAGTGACGAGCCCCCCACTCCCCCCCCGCCCCACCACCCACCCCCCTCGTGATCTTCCGTCACTGTCATCCACTTGACTCCTGACTGTGCACAAATGGACCAAAAAAAAAAAGAAAAGAAAACGTCATACTGTATCAACGTGAGACAAATCTGAACTGGAAAAACAAAATATGTAGTCACCTCGAAGTAGTTTCATGGGACCAATGTTAACGCGAGGTGAACTGGTAAATTATAGCAGCAATATAGATGAACAGAAAAAAAGAGGAAACAACCTTTTTTTTTTGGTCCACTATGCAACTGACATCACAACTACTCCAGCGGTGTTGATGCTAAAGTGTGTTTTGCTTTGTGCGCTTGCAGACAAACAGTAAGGCGTTCACCGCCAAGACGTCATGCGTGCGGCGGCGCTACAGCGAGTTTGCATGGCTGAAGAAGAAGCTGCAGAAGAACGCCGGCTTGGTGTGAGCTTAGCACATTTACTCTTTGGCATCTGCAAATTCGTTTCCGTTTTGATGTCAGAGTTTGACAAGAGATTTTTGTGGTGCTCTAGGCCCGTTCCAGACCTTCCTGGAAAGTCCTTCTTCTCCTTCAGCAACGAGGATTTCTTGGAGCGGAGGCGTCAAGGACTTCAAGTATTTCTGGACAAGTCAGTCCTATCTTCACAGCCAATATTGACCGCTGAGTATTCACCAATACTATATACCGATACCACAATTACTTCGGATAGGAGCGGTATCAGTGGCTGGTATCAGCATCCTTTTGAGTACCTAATACCTTGAAAGAAGGCTGGTATCGGCCTAAGACTGTAGCTGGTCTCGGTATTTGCCCATTCATAGTTTTATGTGTATTTTTTTGTCTTGTTTTGTTTTTTTGTTGAGTGTATTTATGTGCATGTTGTTTTTGTTTCTGAATATATATTGTTTTTTTTTTTTTTTTTGTGATTTTTATTTATTTATTTTGGCTATTTTTGGGTGTGTTTAATGACTTGTTTTTTATTTGGGTGTCTGCGTTTGTTGATCTTTTTTATTTTTGGTGTGCGTGTGTGTTCCAGGGTGGTGAACATGACTGTGTGTCTGTCAGACAGCCAGCTTCACCTGTTCCTGCAGACGCAGCTGCCCGTGGGCCACATTTTGGACTGCGTGCAAGGCCACACCCCCTACTCGGTGACGGACGCCATCCTGACTTACGCCTCATCCAATCGGGGCTGGGCTCAGGCTCAGGAGGAGGACGCCGTCATCAAGGAGCCCAGTCTCAATGTGTCATACGAGTCCATGGAGAGGTGAGGGTGTCGCCGTGGCAACCAACTGTTCAGTCTCAACTCATTCGCGACTCATTGAAAGTTTGGTATTTGGTACGATATTATCTAAAAACGTGAATTTGATGAGAACCCGAAGAACAAATGAACCAATGGTGCGTTCCTCGTGAAGAAAGTAAATAGAAAATTTGAGGATGTGAATATTTTCTGTATGTTCTTTAGTTCACCGTTTCAACTTAAAATCTTCTCCACAGCCCGGCTCCTCATCACCCTCGCCCTCACAACAAAGACATCAGTAGCCTGGTGCTCTCCTCATGCATCGACGACGACATAAACGAACCGTGCGACACGACCGCCCGGGCCGAAACCACGCCGGCCATTTTCTACCTGGGAGACGGCCTGGACGAGCGGACGCCGCCTGAAGACGCCACGCACGGGAGCAGTCGCATGGAGACGCCAGTGGAGGTCCACTCTCCTGGCATTGAGGAGAAAGCACAGGTGGTGGTCCTGGTTAGTAGTTCAGAGGTAGAGAAAGAACTGGTGGCTGAGATGGTCGGCCTAAGGCAGGGAGTGGTAAGCAATGAGGACGCCGCCCAGCTCTCGTCATCCAACGAGAGCATTGTACAAGTCAGCGATGACGAAGACGTGGTCAACCCAAACTGTTTGGCACCAAACGGCTTCCCCAAGATGTCTCCTGAGGATGACAGCCGCTGGCCGCGTGTGTCCGGCGGAACCGCTGCGGACCTCCAAGTGAACGGGAGCTCTGACCGTGAGCTGAGTAACTCTTTGGACATCAATTTTGCAGAGAACGACTTCAGCGTGTTGGAGAGCAGCTCCGCTCCCGAGTTAGCCGGCGGAAAACACTCACCGTTGACAGACTGAAGACAATGTTTGGTTTTTAAAGGATAGTTTGGTTTTTTTTTTAACTGAAACATTTACTTGAATGCTTAATGGCAGGCTCCTCTGTTTTGCCCACCCTTGAAAATATTCTTACTGTCTATAGTTGCCACAAGATCTGAATTTGAATTGAATCTCCTCCTTTCATGTCAACATTCCATGACACCAAAGCAATACTTTGGTGACATAACAACCCCCCCCCCTCCCCCGGCTAATCTGCTAATAAGGTAATCGTGAATATGTAAGAGGAAATCTATATCACTTTTTTGGAGGTTAAACTCTGATTTTTTTTTTTCGAGACAGTGTGAAAGAAGTTGTACATTTTTTGTGACTTCTCATGTAGAAAAAACTGAGTAAAATATTTTTTCAAAACTATACTTGTTGAGAAATTCTTTGACCATCAATTTTGCAACAAAAAACAGACTGCAGAGAATCTGTTGTTATTCATCTTTTTTTTTTAATCTAATTTAAATATTTAAAATCCACTTGAGGGCGGCCTGGTGGTGGACTGGTGAGCGCGTCGGCCTCCCAGTGCTCCGGCCTTCCTGTGTGGAGTCCTGTGTGGAGTTTGCATGTGTGTGTGTGTGGTTGATTATTTGAATACCACAAGAGAGTTTTAATAAAACATTGACCTTCAGAAAAGTATGTAATAAAACTGAATTGAACTTAAATTGGTTTGCGCTTCAGTTTCCAGTGCAGATCCCGGCCCTCCCGTGTGAAGCCTGTTAGTGCAGCTAATAAACTGAATATTCTCAACTCAACTCAACTGTATTTATAGAGCACTTTCAAACAGCCATCGCTGCATACAAAGTGCTGTACATGGAGCAATTCAACATATACAACAAACAGTAAAGCAAATCGGTAATAAAGACGGTAGGAAGCACCGAACAGCAAAACCAAGAACAAATCTAAGTCATGCTGAGTCAAATGCCAAAGAATACAAGTGAGTTTTGAGGCGGGTTTTGAAGATGGGCAGCGAGGAGGCTTGCCGAATGTTCAGTGGGAGGTCATTCCAGAGAGAAATTTTGTTCAAACGTTGACATTCAGAAAAGCATATGATAAAACTAAACAGCATTCTAGCTGGGAGCCCCTGGTCCACTGGGGAGTCCTTACCGTTGTGTGTATGTGCGTGTGTCTGTCCGTGCGCACGTGCACCAACACTGAGACACCCATTTATCTTTGCACGCCCAAAAATTTTACATGTAACTTTGTCATGGAAGAACCCCGCCTATTGCGTTGGAGTGGCTTTCACAACGACAAGTAGGAAGTTGAGAGACAAAAGGACACGGACACCCGTGGCAGGAGAGATGAAACCACAGTGAGTTGGTCGGATCTCTGCAGATAAATCCCATACCTGAGCTTTATTGAAAGTCTCACGAATTGCAACAGCACAATCAATACAAGAATCAATATGAGATTACGTGAACATGCATGGGAACTTCAACACTTGTTCTATTCAAAGATACTTGTTTACTCTGACCATATGTGCGCCCCTCCCCCTGTCTTTATGCGTATTTTAAGCTGGGCGGCCAGGTTGCCCTCACCTTGTCAAGGGTGGCAGCCCGACTTGTGTTCCTGGGATTGTAGTTAGTATGCTATTCTCTGAACTATGGTAAAATGAGTGAAATAACACAGCATATATACTGTATATATAGGACTAGATGTGAGTATGTGTGTAGTTGTGTAGACACGTAGAGAATAAATGATTGGAACATTACATTTGATAATATGGTCCATACTGGTCCCCAAAGAATCACGGTGAAATCAAATTTCATTTAATATTGGGCAGGAAACATGGGTCGACTTTCTGCAGGGCCCCAATAACTTTTCCCCCTCAAAGTATTCCCTGTCTTTGAGAATACACACCACAACCACTTCCAAAAAAAAGTTGACCGAACTACGAAAATGCCTCAATGGGAGGGTTGTCCCCAACGACCGGGAAGAGGATAATTTGCCAAAATTTTGCAAAGCGCTTTATTGAAGCCGTTGTGGAAGCGCTGTAGAAATCAAAATGTATTCTAACTGGGAAAGTCAATTCCTTTTGTGTTTTTGCATACTTGGCCAATACGACACATTTGATTCCGATTCCGATTGCTTGCCAAACGCCTTTGTGGTTACCTGGACAGTAGGGGGCGATATAGACGAAGGAGAACCATTCCACCAAGAAGAAGAATAAGAACAAGCACAAGAACGGTAGCACATCCGGTTCAATGAGCAAGTGTTTCCGCTTTTCACAAGCCGTGTTTTCAGTAAGTCATTTTAACATTTTAAACTAACTATTCGCCGTTTATCTGTTCGTGTGTTTATGTAGACAACTGAGGAGCATAATAACGACACGTTGCTCCTGTAATTTGTTTGTTGTTACTCACTAAGTCACTGGAAGGTATCGTAAAAAACAAAGTCAGCAAAGGGGCCAGTTAGCGAGCATGCCGCTGACAAGTCGACCTCAGCTGGATATCATAAGGCAATCGAGAAGAGCGTTTGACTTGAATGTTATTTTGTATGTTTTCCACACCAAAGCTGCTGTAACCAGTGGAAGTGTGATGGCTTCACATCTGGGGGCAGATTTGTCTTAAAACGATTCACACAAATGCATCCGTGACTTTTTTTTTCACTTGTTTTTCGAAATATATTTGTGACTTTCACAAACTAATTACAAAATTTCAAAAAAATATATGTTGATAATATCCACAAATATACTCGTCATTTGCACACGTGGTTTTAAATTCAAACGTATAGTCGTGATAAATGCACACACAACATAAAAAAAAACAATGAGGCATATCGCAATAGTTCATTGTATGTCAGGTGTGACGAGGGGGCCACGAGCGGATCGCTCAGACTGATGCGGTGCATGTGGAGGCATAGTTGGAAATGGATGGGTTGAAAGTAAAAGTCTGCCACTTTATGAATCGTGACTCAAATCATGAAAAAAAAAAACTTTTTGGAACACTGTACTTTGTTTTTTTTCTGCCTGACCAGATTGAAAAGGCTCCTGGCCCAAAGGTGCAGCTGACAGATTCGGAGGACATGCAGAAGGGAGGCCAACCTGCATTTAAACACATGAGTATTGAGCCTTGTTGTGTGCTTGGAGAGCTGATGTCTGATGTCACGTCGCACCATAAGGTGGAGGTATGTGCGCCCGCCTGTCTCTCACTCAACTTCAACTTCTGCTCCGTGTACTGCACAACATTGTCAACAACTCATTGACAACCCGAACATCATCAAGCACTTCCCAGAAGAGTGTGATCATGATGTTGTGGAGTACATGGCACTTAGTTTTTGTCTCAGTGAGAGAAGTCGGACGTGCCCATGTCCACCTTGCTGTGTCATGAGATGTGACATCACACATGAGCTGGTCAAGCACATGCAAGACTTCAGCTGATCCCATCTCGGGCCTGTCGTCAGTGTTTGTGTGTGTGCAACTAGAACTGGCCCACACAAACATTGACTGGTAAAATGCTTTCACATTGTCCTGTTAGCTTTTCTGTCCAATAAATTGTTGAACTTGAATTCGAGTCTTTGCCTTTCATGACTAAGTCCATCCTCAACTCACTCGAAGCCTTTCATGCTGAGTGGTCACTGCAGCGGAAGACTTCTCAAAGACTTAAGTTTTGAGGAGAGAGTTGCACCTCAGTCACTCGTATGGCCACAAGTGTAACACTGCCATTCTGTTGGTCTCCACATGACTCGAAACTCCAAGAATTGAGCTTTTGGGTCATGTGAAACCGACGGGAACAGTGAAGAGACTGTCTGGTGTGACCGAAGGGCAGCTCTCACCTCAAAACTCAAGTGGGACTTAGAAATTTTTCTGCAAAGCCTGCCCAAACCACACCCAATTTCACATCCACCAATCACGGCTAGGCATGCATTTGCATAAATTTGCATAACCAATCAGAACGCTCCGATTTGCATAGCCACGCCCACTTTCAAGTATCTGACCAATCAAATCGCTCCAAATCTGCATAACCACGCCCCCTGATGAGACAGCCAATCACGGAACGCCTAATCTGCATAACCACACCCCCAATTCCGACAATCACAGCATGTTATTGCCATGCTCCACCCACTTCCACGGCCATCAGCGAATCATGAGCCATCATTCCAGCTATGCCACACCCACTTTCCTCAATTTTTCTGCCCAGGGGAAAAAAAAATCCCAGAAAAAAAAAAATCCAGAAAAAAATTTTGGAAAAAAAATTTAGAAAAAATTTTTAGAAAAATTTTTTTGAAAAAAATTTGAGAAAAAAAACTTAGAATGTATATATTTTTTCATGTTCTATTTTTGTGATGTGTTTAGGATTGAAGTTGAGTGTTCAAGTGTTCTTTGTAATCAAGCTTTATTTCTTTTGCAGAACAGACAATCACAAAGCAGAGGAAAAAGTTGCAAGTTGGATGGCAGTCTGCACGTCGCTGGGTGGCGAAGTGGTCGGCTCGTGAGAAGAACGGAGGACAGGTGTGTTGACCTGAGAGGAAAGACATCCATGAGTTACACGCAAGTCAATGTCTTGTGCAGACAAAGATTTTTTCGGCATGAAACTTACCAGCGAGAGAGACAAGTTGTTGGGTCTTTTGTGGAGGAAGCCGATCATGTTCACTGCTGCCTGAAGAGGAAGAAAAAAAAAAAGTAGTCTTGAACTCTGCGGAGAACATGCTTGTTGAAATGAGCCTTCTTACCAGCAGATGGCTCAGTTACATTTCACCTGATATTCCACGGGTTCATCTGGATGACAAAGTGCAGGTGAGTAGACACAAATTACAAACCAAAATGCAGTTCCATTTTAATCAAAGCTGCTGCTGCACGAGCTCTTCAATTTTCAACTGATTGATTCACTGGAATCTTTTGCTGCAACACTTGGTCCAGCATGATCACCACCAACAAGCCAAGCAGCTCCTGGTCCAGTGACTCATCCAAGGTGGTCAAACCTGCCAATGCCACAAACGAGAGACCCATCGAGCTCCTTTTTCATACCTTTGAACGGCAACGTTGAAAATGGAGCAGACAAGCTTGTCGCATTTGTCTCTTTGCCCAGCAGGTGGAGGGTCTGACTGGAAGCTGCACTGCATGCAGAATGAAAGAAAAAGCAGGTGAGTGTGCTTGAAAATTCAATGTGCCGTGCTTTTTGTTTGTAGCTTCAGTCACCTGACAGCGTGCATGACATCAGGTGGATCGTGACGCCATGTTTCCTGAGGCCCTGCACCAGCGCCGCCTCCAACCAACAGTTCCAGGACTTGATTGCAATTTTGCGACAGGCCCAAACGTTGACGACTCGACTTCACAACGTGTCATCTGGTTCTTCAGCACCACCTGGTGGATGAGAGCAGGACAAACGCACTTGTTGAGGAAATGTGTTGGGGCCACTCTCCCGCCCTTTTCCCCTCCCCCATTTCCCCCTGGTGCAACACCTGATTCAAATGATCAGATCATCAGCAAGGTCGGCGGAAGCCAGACAGCGAATCTGATCATTTGTCTCAGTGTGAGAGAGAGCCAGAAAAGAGCACCACCACCGTTTGATTTTAGCCACAGGTGCGCCTACTCAACCAGAGGAGCTGGTTGAGTTGGAGGTCCTGTGGTTAAATCAAACTTTTCAGATTTCTGGATTTGACACCTGTGCTCAATCTTTAGTCAATCACCTGCTGATTTAATTACGAGTACTCTCACTTGTGCACCTGTGGGAAAATGTTTGCTTTACTTGTGAAGAGAGTAGAGCTGGACGTTTCTTCGACAGCACAGTGGCCTGAAAGACACGGTAACGTTAGCTCTTGACTCTTAAATATTCAAACCTTCCAAGTGTGTGGCCGGGCACCCCGATATTTGGAAGACCCAAAGGCCACAGGATGGCAGCCATTTTAAGGGTCATTCTGTCGAGGTGAGCCTGCATAGACAGAAATGAGAATCGACACATTTGGGATTTAGTTTGATCTGTATTCAAATGCGGCAATTTTACCTTGTTGCAGTCAATTTGGCCATTCTGTAGAAGATGCAAAGCCTGTGGACAGAAAAGAGACAAATTAGTTGGGCTTGCTCCAAATGGTTCACAATTAAAATTCCACATTGAAACGCACAGCAAGTGTCCCATTTTAGACGCCATTTTAAGATTTGTACCTGTGAACAGAAATGACACAATTAGTATGTACACATGCGTATTAATTCGGTTTAATTGTTAATTTAGAAATGAGTTGTGTCTACTTACCCTCTGGTCGAACGTAGCTTTCCTAAGGAAGTTGGGGGAAAAAAAGCGTTTGTTGCAAAGTAAGGTCGCAGGAGACGTTCATTGCAATGCTCGAGCAAACATTTTTGCTTTGCATGTTTGCCAGGTGCGAGCACGATTAAAGTGCTGCTTTCCATTCAATGTGAGTGTTTTAATAAGCTATTAAAGAGTAAAAAGTCACCTTGTTGGAGTTCTGCGTGATCTTGTGGACAGGCGTGCGGAGCAGGAGCAGTGTGTGGACGAGCGGAGGCTGTCGAAGGTGAGAAAGAATGATTGCCTATTTGTCGCCGCTTAAATAGGTTTCCGGTGATGACGTCACTTCCGGGAAGGAAAAAATATTTAAAAGAGTAAGTGAAGACCCGGGCTCGAACCTGAGTTCACCAGTCGGGACTCCCAGTCATATACCATTGTGCTACTATCTGTCAGTGATAACGATCGCTTTTACGTATATGTTAACAAAGAAGATGAATGTGAACGAAAAAAAGCAGGAGTGCTGAGTGCCAATAACCGGACTCGAACATGAGTTCACCAGGCAGGACTCCCAGTCGTATACCATTTGGCTATTGTCTGACAGTGAAAATGCTTGCTTTTACATCTACACTATAACAAAGAAGGTGAATGTGGGAAAGAAGGTTAGGGTCAACACCGGGGCTCGAGCTTGAGCTCACCAGTGGAGAGTCATAGTCGTAGACCATTGAGCTATAGACTGACAGTATCAACAGTGACTTTTACGTTTCTAATTATTATCAGATACTGCACTCTAAAGACCAACCAAATTACAGTAAAAGCTGTCTGCGTGGTCGAATGGATAAAGACATGACGTGGTCCACGGGCATCCCGGGTCCGGTTCTTGCTCAATTTATCAATGTAGCAGGCAGTGGGGCTCGAACCCGGGTCGCCTGACTACACTCGTCGTCTTTTACCATTAGTCCATTCTGCCGCGAAAATTTCGAAAAAATTATATGTAATCATAAGTCAACATCTTTATTTGAGCTGTTAAATTGTTGGCATCTCTCGGAGTGAGTGGCCTCTTGTGTTCCAAACTTCGCCCCTCAACTTCGTGACGGCACTCGAACCTAACCCATTCGCCCTCAACCTCACCAGTTTCTCCCCTCCGCTCCCTTCATAATGCCATCCTGAGATCAGGAGAGGGAGTTTGCAAAGCCAACTTGGTTTGAAATTGAAGACAAGCATTACAAAGAGATTGTGTCGTTTCTTACTTTGCTTTATTGGTGATATTGAATAAAGGGCTTGAACAAAACACACAAGTTTCTTGTCTGCTTCAGTCACAAATAAAACATCCATCTGCACACTTCCAAACGTGGAATTCATTGTTTCAAGATGCTTTGTTGAGAAGGGCAACTCTGCTGGAAAGTTGAGACGCAAGTCTTATCTGGGTGGTCTCGGCTGGTCCAAACGGGTCCGGAGGCTGAAGAACCTGCAACGGCTAAAGAATCACTGTGGAATCAAACTTCATTTCATATTGGGCAGCAACCATGGGGCGACTTTCTGCAGGGCCCCAATAACAGGAAATCAGAAAAAAACCCTACTATATATATATATATATATATACACACACACACACACACACACACACATATACATATACTACTTTACTGAACTCTAGCTGAGGCCCGTGGTTCACTGGTTAGTGTGTTAACTTCCCAGTACAAAGGAGCAGGGTTCGATCCCGTGTCTGGCCTCCCGATGTGTCGCTTGCGTGCTCTCCCTCTACTGGGCACTGTGGTTTGTTCTTTTCAGACCATTAAATCCAGCACAACTCTTGTAAGAATAAGTGGATCAGGATGGATGGATGGACATTTATTTGAACACTTTGATAGCATGCTTCAAAATGATCAATGGTGTCGTCTCTTTTGGAACAGCAGGGGGCGCCAGAGTCCTGCAGAAGCTCGATTCGTCAGCTCATCTTGGGCAAGCAAGCAAATTTACATTGACACTTCTGGACAATTTCCGGTCTTCGCTTCATCTCATGTGCTTATTTTTATAATGTGGGAGGAAACCTTCACATGCGCAGTAACCCAAAATTCAAACCCTTCAACTGCAATTGTGATGCAGAAGCGCTCGCCACATGTTCACGATCCATCCGTTTTCTGATCCGCTCGTCCTCACAAGCGTCCCGGGGCGTGCTGGAGCCTATCCCAGCTGTCTTTGGGGGACACCCTGAACCGGTTGCCAACCGGATCGCAGGGCACACACAGACTTGATGCGTCTCGCTTGACCTTTTGCACTCTGAACTTCAGGGGAAACTCTGCCGTCTGGTGGCCAAGATAGAAACCTGCAACTGACATCCCCCAGCAGACCTCAAATAGTTCATCGTCTGCAAACTTCATTCCTGAGTGACTGAACACCTGCAGCATAATTGTGTGATCTTTGTCAATAACTCAAATTTCATTTTCAGAAAAAAATCCCCCTGTGTTGCCTGTTGTTAGAATTGGTCGCTTTGGGGGCTGCTTCGCCCGTACCTTGCTGCGGCTCACAGGATATAGGCCGGGTGCATAAAGTCCTTGGGGACGATCCCCACGACGCCATTCAGGTCGCCGACCCACCAGCCATCGATGTTGTATTCCTGAAAGCGATGAAACATAACAGCTGTCAATCATTCTCATTGTGAAGAAGATTGGAGCGTTCGGGACAATTCAAAACAAAAGGGAGACATTTTTTTTTTCTACCTTTTACACTGCGATTCAAAATTAAACCACAATCAACAAAATGCGTCCATATTATTATATTTAACGATCCAGCAATCGTTAAATATGAAACAAGATTAACTCGTGTTGCCTCGAGTCCTAAAATGATATTTGTGCCGCACAATATGAAAAAAAAAAAACTTTAAATGAAAGAATTTAGCCGGCGGCGGCAGGACAACTTGATGTTAATTGGCTCTTGATTGCATAACTTGGTTTTAATTGCTGCTGTTTTTGTTGGAGCTGCTGGAGAAGGAGGAGACGTCAATAGAAAAACAAAACAAAAAAATTACAATAATGCAATGTGGACCTTTAAGTTCCTATAAACGGTACATCTTGATCAGTATATCACTGTCAATAATTTCAGACAGTATTTTGTTGGCTACTTTATGGGGGAAATGCTTTCAATGATATTAATCGAGAACCATGAAAACAACGCACATTATAATTATTGTTAGTTGTGTCAACTAACAATAATTATTAAATTGAGATCTCGTATCAGACAGTTCACCGACATTTCTGTTGTACGCGTGTCTCGTCAGCGGGCGAACTTTCGGCTGTTTGAAAACGACGGTTGGCCACGTTCAAACTCAGCTTGGGGGCAAACGTCAAGCGACAGCAAGCATGCGTACATTGGATCAAATTTTGAAACTCGCTCTCTGTCCATCAATGGGCTCAGCATGATGTAGAGGAAGATGTCCACAATGGCGGCGGTCTTGGTGGCGAGTCATCAGGGAAAATGGGGGGTGCGCGGGGGTGGTTGGCCACAGAAAGGGATGAGCGGCGCAGCACTCTCGCAGCGACAAGAGAATTGTATTTATCTGCGCCGCCCATCTGTGCAAAACACTTTCAAATTCTCCCCCGGAAAGGTCTTTTGGATTATCAGCGGCACCATTTTAATACGAGAGGGGCGCGGTGCGAGGCGGGGTGGCGGAGCCAACGGCTGCGGGAAGTCTGTCAGGCGTGCAGAGTCCATCTTCCTCGCGCTCGCAACGGGTTCATCCAGAGTA